GATGGGGCTGGGAGGGGTGTCCCAGGGCAGGCAGGGGGGGCTGGGCTGGGGCCAGGGTGGTCACACCTCCCTGTGCACAGGGACGCTCCCAATCCGCAGCGCAGTGTCCCAAGGCCCATAACCCGGGACATTTGTTGTCCCAAGGCCCATAACCCACGGGACATTTGCCCGGCTGCCCGGGGGCCAGGTTGGGCTCTCCCCGCACTGCCACCCCTGGAGCCCCTGCCCGGCCCAGGCTGCGCAGCGGGTCCCACAGGGCGCAGGGTGCTCCGGCCACCCCTGACCTGCTGGGGACTGAGGCAAGCCGGGAGGGGACACAGCGGGATGAGGATGAGGTGGGGGCCAGGCTGGCAGGCACCTTTGCTGGCCTCCTGGTACTTGCGCTTGGCCTGGGCACTGTCACGTGCCAGGCTGCGGTACTGCGCCTTCAGCTTCTCCATCTCCTGCTGTGTGGTCTGGAGAGGGAGATGCCATCAGGGGAGTGGGGCCGGGCCAGGCCCCCTGCTCCCCCCGCTGGGACCCGCATACCCGGGTGTACTCCTGGCTGAGCTGCTGCCACTGCTCGCTGAAGGCCTTGCGGAGCTGCTGCTTGTCGCGGATGAGCAGGCTCAGCTTGGCCAGCGGCCCTGCTGCCAGCTCCTCCGCGTGCTGCCGCAGGATCTGGCTCAGTGTCTCCGTCTGGCTTGCCAGCACCCACCAGGACTGCGGGGACAAGGCATCAGGGACGGCACAGGGATGGCCACCCTCCGGCACCGCACCGGGCTCTGCGGAGCGTGCTCCCACACTGGGGCATCCCTACCTCCCCGATCTGGCTGCTGTGGTCGCCGGCACGGAGCTGCCCGGGGGCCTCCTGCTTCTCCAGCTGGGAGAACATGTGGTGCAGCATCCCCGCGTACTCCCGGTCGCTCTTGGCACGCTGCGACATCCACTTCTTCATCAGCTCCAGGAGGCGCAGCTCGCTGTCCTGCAGCCGCAGCAGCGCACTGTGCCCCTGCGGGCACCACAGCTCCGGCCCGAAGCCCATGGCACCACCGTCCCAGGCAGGAGGAGGCTGCGGAGCGGCGGGAGAGCCTGAGACGCAGCTGCCGCCCCGTGCCCTGCACCGCCCTTGCTGGTGGCTGGGGCCCTTTGCATCTCACACCTTCCCACCCCACCACCCCGTCACCGGGACACGGTGCCCGGGCTGGGCAGAGGCGGGGAGCAGAGTCCTCCCTGCCCCACACAATCTGCCTTGCAAAGCACATTCAAAGCAGGTGGGAGGGCTGAGCGCACCCCAAGCCCTGCGGCAGCTGGAGCCCGCAGGGACAGTGCTGGGGAGGGGGAAGTGTGGGGTCAAAAACAGCAGTGTCACCTCTGCCGTGCATGCAGGGCTGCTCCCAGAGGGCAGCACAGCCGTGCCCCCTGCCCTGGCTGGGGCACTGGTCCCACACGGTCTGGCAGCTCCAGCCCTGTCCTGCCTGTCAGGACAGTCACCCCTGTGCCCGCAGCGGGGGCAGCCAGGCATGCCGGGACAGGGGAGCTCCTGGGGGCCAGGGCATGGGTGGGGAGCCGGCAGGAGGGGGCCAAGGCACCGAGCTCCGGGGGAAGGTGCCAAGCCTGGATGTGTCCCAGTACCTGGGACTCCAGCATGGCCATTTGGAGCCGAACTGGTCCCAGCTGTGGTCCCAGCCCGCCCTGCCCCGTGGGAAGGG